CTTTGTGCACTTCCATTGTTGGAAAGAGGGTAACTTTTAGTGGTATACGGAAAACCCATTCGTTGGCAAAAAGCTAAAGTCCTAACATCCAAGCAAGATGCAACAAAGCAACTCTTCCACCGCGGAAAGACGCGTGAATCCTCCGGGTTTGGGGGCAAATGAGTGGGTCCCCTGGTTTCTGTGGCTGAAGCTTAGTGAGTCCCGTGCTTTTTGACGTGCGTTGTGCTTGAAAATCTGTGCGTCCCCCCACGTCCTGGCCAAATTCACAGTAGACTACCGGGATTTGGATCAAACCTCTCATTTTAGAGGAAAATGTTTTCTTCCAGGACCGAGGCCCAGTCAGGTTCTATGCTCGTGGGAGGGCCCCCCTTGGTGAAACGATTCAGGGCTTCGCAGTGAAGATCCTCTCCCCCGGAAAAGATCAACCCGCAAAGCGGGCTGAGAGCAGCCAACCAAGGGGTATGAACAAGCGCAATGTATTTCTCGAGACCGCACACCCAGGAAGGCCCTGCTTCTTTCAAATCCCGAGCCACCAAAATCTGCTGCTCCCTCGAAAAGATTGCCCATAGAGAAAGCAGGACATGTTCACCGAAGCGAACGTGTTCCAACATGGGGGCTGTTTTTCGAGGCTACCCGTTTTCACCTAGGTTGAAAGGAAAACCAAACTGGGCCCTCAGATCCTCCGCTAAAAGTTAACTTTTAGTGGGTTAAATGCAAACTACCACTACACGCTGGGCTAAAAAGCTAAGGGAACCGGATGGGAACCGGAGCCACCAAGCAAAATGAAAGCCATCATTTCGAAGGTCCAAACCCCAACCCCCCCCCCCCACCCTTGACATCCGGTCCTTCAGATGGGCCTCCTACAGGAAGGGCATCCAAGAGCCTCAGTCTTGTGGATTTCCGGCTGGTTTGGGCACCCGTTTCTGGTGGGTCACCGTTTCACTCCCCAAACGAGGGAAGCGACGCCCATCTCCAAAAGGGAAACAATCCCACACATGTGCGCACGTGCTCAGGAAGACCCAAAGGAAAACCACTAGAGTTTGGGGTTGAACTCGTTTTGGGCACTGTGTAGGATTGCTGCTTGGCCGACCTTCTTTTTGTTCTGCACTTGGAGGGCAGTTCGGAGGAAGAAGCAAAATCCGAGAGCCGAGCCACGATCAAAACCTCGATGAATGAAGATGAGGGAGAAAGGACTCAACTGCCATCACGTGATGACAGGTTGTCCGTTTTTGTGCAGGGCAAACAAGTGGCTATCGAAAGGTTCCTTCTGGTTGACCCAGGTGAAAGGCGTCATTGTCAGAGGATTCTTGACGCATCGGGTCCACCAGCCAAGTGGGGGGCTCCCACTGTTGTCCCTTTGAAAACCCAAAATAGAGACAGTGCACCCTACCCAAACGGCAAACTGCAAACTTGGCCAAGCAGCTTTCCGATCCGCTCGGGGCTCGTCCATGAGAGCTTCCTGGCAGGCTGGATGGCGAAGTACACAAAATAAAGACTGAAACCAAAGGCAACTCAAGCGGTTGGGCTCCTACTCTGTTCCTCCGTTACTTTCAGGTCCAAAACCCGGGGAACCCATGGCCGACTACCTCTGTCTTGCGTCAATTTGTCAGGTTGGAAGCGCCAGGTCACGATCTCCACAAAGCAAGTCGCGGCATTCTCGCTCTGTTCTTTGGCCCGCCCAAGCTCCGCAGCTTTCGAGACTTGCCATGTCCATGGCCAGTGAGTTTTTCTTCCTTTCTTCCTTTTCTCATTCATGCCATCTCTCTAGGGCCTTCCATCCCCCTTCCCTCACCAAGTCATCTCCAAAGCCCCCACCTTCCTGGAATACCCGCCAGGAGGAAGCTGCTTTTGTTTGGGAGGCCCAAACCAACAAAACAAAGACTGACAGCCTCGAGAACCCACCACAAAGCAACATGTGGGACTAGCACCCAAGATTATTTCCCGAGGTATCCTTGTTTCGTTCCGTTTTTTCCGCTTTGCTTGTACAGTAGTTAACATGTAGCAGTAAGCTTCAGGCAAAGAAACATCTCACACACATGCAAAATCCTTGTGCATGGTTGCTAAACATGCAATGCAACAAAGTCCGCGTGGTTTGCACTTGGTAGCTGTGTAGCGCAATAAATCACCGACAAAATGCATATTTGACAAGCCTGCTCAGCTCAAAATTTGCTGTCGGCCAAGGTCAGAATCCTGCCAAAGGTCTTGTGCATACACTTCCATGATTCCGTATTTTGAACATCAGTTTACAACTCGCGAAACCAGGCAGTCTGGCATGAACCATGCGTATTGTCAATACACAAGTACTATTCGAGAGGACTTGACAACGCAACAGGTGGATCATTCGGGGGCTTGATCATATGTATGTGTATTAATATATGTATATATACATGTATATATACAGACATACATACGAGAGGGCAATGTTCCAAGGAGCCATTCCCGCCTCAAAGTGTTCAGCCCCCATTGCAGCAGCAATGGCCGCAGCTCCGTCAAGGAACCCAGACGCTGCTCAAGCGCCTACAGCCCGACAGGGGCGTCAATCAACTCACTGTACATTGGCCCAACAAGTGATGCTTCAAACGACTTGGAACCCTGAGTCAGGAAGTATTCAGAAGTTGATCTTGAATTTGGGTGCAAGTAGATCTTGAGATCAAGTTCGACCTTCAGTCATCCCCTTTACTTGCCCACGTGTAACCTGTTGGTAGGAGTGGATTGGGGTTGCTAGAGGGGTGTTTTCTCAGCAGGATATCTACATATCTATTGGGCCTTGTAAGTGTTTGGGGGATAGGGGTGGGTAGATTTGATTCTCCAGAAGATGCAGTTGGCTTTCTCATTTTTCTAGGGGTAACTTCCCCATTCTTTCCAGGGATCCTTCTTTCTAGAAAACCTAGCTGGTTTTTGAAAAGAACGATGGTTAAACAGAATGGGGAATCAACCCCTAGAATTTTAAGGACAAAACCCTCGAAACTCCACCGACGCCAGTCGATGTAGATGGCCATCCGCTCGCTCTTCCTTCGAGCGCTGTCGGGAGGCCAACTCCTGTAATCGTCCATTTTGGGACTTCGAACGCCCAAAACGCCTTCTTTTGTCTAGGTTTATAGCAAAAAAGGGGTGCCTATGGCGGCAATAATCTGCATTCCCAGCATTATCAGGGCTGTCTTGGCGGCATTTGTTGTTGCTTTTGCTGGTCTCAATGGTGGCTTTCTGTTTTGTGTTGATGTAGCGAGGATCTAGGATTGCTAAAACTGGATTGCGAAATCCGCGCTAGTGTTCGCTGCAAAACATCCCCAGCAATATTGCACTTTCAGGAGGCTATATTTCGTGGTTGACTTTTGGAAATCGCTGCATCCCCAGCATTCCCCGCACTCCCGCCATCCTCAATACTTGGCCATTTGTTTGCGTCTGAAATTCTCGGTGTGTCGTCGCACCACTGACGGCTTCGGCGGAGCGCGTAGCGATTTCAAAAACAATCAATCGCAGCGTCTGCAACGTGTTAGCTTGCAGAATTTCGCTAGCATCGTACCTGCCACGGGTTGGGGGCCCACGTTTCTCGCAAACGCTATGACTCTATGACTTGAACAAACGTGGCAATATACCAGCTACAGGACCTACGAACTGTTGTGACCATGGTATGGCCTTCCAATGGCAATATGAGCGCTTGTGTTGTGGCAAGATAGCTTGTGACCTCCCTGTGGTCCCGGATTCAAACCTTAGAGTGAGGTCGCTCACTCATCCAAGGGGAACAAGTGTGGCTTCCCTAGTATCCCAACAGAGGCACCCAACTCCAAAAAGGCCACACCCACATGGGTGTGTTCAACAAAGGTACTGGGTTCAACTTTAAGGAAACAAATGAAGGACGAGGCACAGAGGACAGGGAGCCCTCAGCCGCATCCGACATGGCGTCACCCCAGTGAGAGATTGAGCCGGGCCGTCCAAGGGAAGAAGAAGGACCCCTGGTGCAAAGAGGGAATCTCCAACAATCATGGAACGTGAAAGGAGGGATCTACCAGGAATCTGACCAGAACATAAAATCAAAGACTTGCTACGGGAGCCGACGGGGGAGCTCCACCCATTGCCTGGCTGCTTCCATTCTGCTCTGCTGATGCCGATGATGATGCATGCACCCTAGCCATGTTCGACCCACAGCTTGAGCCGAAATTTCAACACATCCGACCAATTCAGATTCGGATCCCGGCGTGGCCGCAAAACTCATTGCAGACTTGGGGTCGGAAGGTGCTAAAACTGGGTGGCACCTAAACTGGATGGAGTTTCTGGAGTCCCAAGCCAAACACACCTGTTCTGCCCGTGGACGAAAAGGAAACAAGCCATGAAATGAGTCAAGGGCCATGGTTTTCCCAACCTACCAGACTGGCTATTGACCCAAAGACCAAAAAATGCAGGGAGCTTGCAATCAACTTGGGGGGGGGGGGGGGGGGCGGAATGCCCCAGATTTTGGGACAGGATGGCCGCTGGCCATCACGTTAGCGAAAGGTAAGTGTACGATACTCGGTGCAGATGGTCATTGCCCGTGAAGTGATTTGTGAGCTTCGAAGCCTCACATCTGCAAACTACAAGAATTCCAAGGCCTGAATCACATGAGTAATCCCCAGGTAGGGAACCGTGAGCTCTTCAAATTTAACCAAAAACATGCTTGGCACTTTCGATCCCCTCAAACAAGCAAGTGTTGTGTCTCTTCGAAAGGATTCACCACCACGCATTTGTTCACTTTCTATGCCTCAAAGCATCACCTTTTGGCATTGATTTATCTGAGTTTCCTTTGGAGGGGATTGAAGGGGGAACTTCCATTTGCTGAAGCTTCCTGGGAAAAATACAACAAACATATGTCCAGCAGTGATAGATTGCCCTCTAAAACCAGCAAGGTAAAAAACAAGTTCTTAACACCAGCAAGGTAAAAGAAACAACATGTTAATTTCAGCAAATGGATGGGGAAACATGGGGAGCTCGTCCCATGCGTCTTTTTTGGAACTCCAGGCCATTGCCTCAAAGAAGGTCTCGGAGGGAGTCAGGTCGCTCGGGTGCTGGCGAAGGGATAAGATATTTGGACGTCAAGAATAACCACCCTTGAGGGTCCCTTTCAGAGGAAAATGTGGTCTTCCAGGACCCATGTTGGTGGATGGGAGGGTATAGGAGTGTGTCCTTGTTAGGGGACCCCCAAATTGGTGGTTTTCATCTGGACCCCTGTGAGGTTCCATGTTGGTGGAGAGGGTATAGATGAGTGTGTCTGCTTTCGGGGACCCCGGTGTTCATTTTGGTTTCCCTTTACGACCACAAACAAGGAATACCCTCAAAAACGACACACCCAAATGGGATCTCGGTCCCACTGAGGCTTCTAGCGATTCTAGGGAAGCCAGCCAGTAGAAGTCCTTTAGACGGCAACGTTACTGTGCCATGGACAAACATTGTCCCCAGTGAAACCTGCTGGTTCAGGCTAGCGCTGTAGCTTTCTCGCTCTGGAGAGATGAGCGGAACATGAGAATGAGTTGAGTGACCCAAAAAGCCAACTGCCTTGCCACATTCCTGGTAACCAAAGAATGCCGCTTGAACTTTTGTTGGAGCACTGGCTTGACGTGCACTTGTGGATACACCCTTTAACAAAACACAGTCTTGGTTAAGCGAAAGCACTGGAAGCCCCATTCTCCACTTGCGTGGAGAAACACAGCTCCCGTGGCGCTCCCGTGGCGTCCCGGATTCTCTTTAAGAGGCCTGAGCACACCAACAGAAGTCTATTGGAATCCCCACTTGTGCAGGTTCGCTACAGAAATTGTCCAACGGAATTTTACCTCGAGCGCACGAAAGTCAGCATGGGGCCAGCAGAAAACACCCTGCCACGGAATCTCTTTTGGAGACCAGAACCCTTTTTGTGAAGCCGAAACGAGGCCGCTTAAACCATGCTATGTTTCAGATTGCTCCTGAAACCGGTGGTTTTGATTTTTCAAACCAAACGTTGGTTGGGGGTTGGTTTTTTCTTTCAAAGAAATTGTAACCCCACTGATCAAGGTCCCTTCTAAGGTGCTTGGACTGACTCCTAGGCAGGCAAGTCCCGGCTTGTGGATTGAAGCCCTGTTAGGTATGGTCCCCCGGCATCAAATCGAGTGCTTATTGCTTTTGCATGCGGCATTTGACTGCTCCACCTGCCATCAAAGATGCCGGTCTTCCATTCTCGCGTCAAGCTTCGCGGGGAAAATCCAGCAGAAAGCCCTGTGCTTCTTCTCTTATAATCCAAAACGGTGATGTTTCCATCATCCAAGAACTTAACAACTTGTGTTGAGGACCCTTGCAAAGAACCAAGCAATCACGCGGAGCGCGGGTTTCATGCGAGGAAAATAGCCTCCCTTCTGGGGTAAACTCTTCCCTTCACGCGAGGTGCCTGGAAAGGGCAGGGTGCGAAATCCGAAACGAAAACTCCTGGCAACTGCATGAAGCCTTCCACTCGTTGTCGGGATGTGTTCCTCCTTGTCGGCTTACAGTGGTTCTCTGCACCCTTTTTTGGTCTACTTGTTTTCGCGCAGTCCTCCCGTAAAGTTTCCTGTAACAGTCTGGTGGTCTTCCGGTAGTCTCTGTGCAGTCCTCCCATCGTTTCCAACACTTTTTCACTCCGCGGCGTTCGTTGGGCCCAAGGCTTGCTGACAAGGCATTTATCAGCTTCTCGGTTTTGCTCCGCTAGTTGTTGTTTGCTTTTCCCAGAAGTGCGTCCCCAAGGCAAATCATTCTGGGCTTGCCTATTGCTGTTTCCTCCCGAAAGCGGTGTATAGTCGGGCGATGCTGCACGGTGGAACTCACGGGTCGTATGCCCTACGAGAAAAAAAAACACGGGAAATCGTCCACGGACTCCTGTGAGGAAAGCTCATAAAACAGGGATCCTTACATTAAACACCTGAACATTGCCTTGTAAATGGTGGTCTCCCTTTGTTTTGGTGGAAAAAGCCATGTTTCAAACGGGCAAAATGTATCTCTTAAGGAGCCCTGTAAAATCTTCGGATATAGATGCGTCTAAATTGAGGGTACCTGTTGAAGAGGGAAATCAAAAGGAAGCCGCCCAGTAGCAGGCTCGACATCCCGTGAGACACTATGCCTAGCGCCAAGTAAGCAAACCAAAATTCGAGGAATATTATTATCCCAACGCAGGTGTCCTTTTGGAAAAATAGATGGGCCTGGTATATTATGACACAACCAGGTCAACCAGGGCTATCCGTTTTCTACCAACAAAAATCAAGGATCTCAAACTTGTGCGCTGAAGCATCAAGAGGGGGCAAAGCTGCTCCCATACTTATGACCAAAAACTCCGAGACCGCTGCAAGCGCACGGGTAAGCGAACCGCCCTTTTTGCAGTAGGCTGCTCAGTCTGGTGACAGCTCAGAAACGTGCAGGGGGTCTAATCTAAGCGATTAAACAGCTAACTGGGTCTACAATCTTGGCACTCTCAGTGTCTCTGAACGCAAACCTGCAGATCTTTTGCGGAAGTGTTCAAGCCACACGGCTGGCCCGAAAGTGCTCAAACTGCAGAAACAAATTTAAGGAACTTGGCATGGCATGCATCAAATTAGAGATCCGAAGCGGAGGCTCGGTGCTCCGTGCTGTTGTCAGCAATGACGGCTTGGCCGCCTGAATTGGACTTGATCGAATTCGAACCTAGCTACTTGCAACTCGGGCAGGAAAAATCTGCGGGCCCACCCAAAGGGCATCGGCGACCCGCAGATCTCTTGTTGCCCTTGCATTTCTCAAAGGCTGGATGTGTGGAATGCTGAACCCCTCGCAACCCCTGTGTTCATTGTTCACATTATAGCTGCGAGTTGAAATGAGGAAACCCTCTGCACGGGTATCTTTGGATGAGTCCTCAGGCACGAACGCCCAAGTAATTAATTCCATTTCCCTTTGGGTCAACAGGGGGAATCCCCCAGCCTTTAGAAGCCTTGAAGAGAAAAAGGTGGCGAGCGGTCGGGGGCACTGCGCGCTTCACCCGGCGATCCGGGCGATGCGGCTGAACCTCTCCTGCGAGAACTTCTTGCGGATCGCCTGGGACGAGCTCGACTCCGCGCTTCGCGGCCCAAACCAAAAGGTGTTCTTTTGCTCCAGAGGAGTCATAATCAAAACCCGGTAATAACATGTAAAGATGAAAAATGACCCAGACTCTATACTACGATATATTTTAGTACTGGGTAGTTTTTGCATTCATATAAGACTATGGGTAGTCATGACTACGCATTGAGTATTAAAATGGTCTACCCAGAACCATGTAAAGGATTAAGAAGGCGGCCGCAGCTACTTATGGTTGGGATTCTCCATTACCAACCTTCATCTTCCCGGGTTCTGATTGTGGGTCATATAATATGGCTGTGGGTCAACACCGTTTTGGGATTCCATTTTGGGGTAGTTGAATTCACCACCCATTTTAGAACCTATTTTAGTGTGGGATTGGGATGTTCACTCATATGAGTCACAATCAAAACCCGGTAATAAAATGGACGTAATCCCAGAACCATGTAAAGGGGCGGATATCCGCAGCTATTTATGGTTGGGATTGTCCATTACCAACCTTCATCTTCCCGGGTTTTGATTGTGGCTCATATGTGGGTTGAACAATCTTCCATGTAGGGCCTCCAGTTTTGACATTGGGTAACCTTTTCCCATGTAGTGGTTGAAATTTCGAATCTTCTCAGTGGTTTCCTCAATGGTCATCCCATGTATCACGGACCTTTTCTAGGTTCTCCAGTAGAGAGGTTAGAAAAAGGGCACCCTTTTTCTATAATCTATTTAAGTAGGAAAAAGGGTAAAACAGCACTGCTGGGGGACCTAGTTTTGATCAACTTCCATATGCATGCAGACTTCCAAAAGCAGCCAAGTTTTCTCAAGAATTGCCTTCTGTGGGCAGCTGTTCGAACGCACAGGGGAGTGGGAAGGGGGGGGGGGTAAAACGAGGTCAGGTCTCATTTGGGAGCTCAATTCCGGTCAATAAGCTGTAGTACTTAGGGTTGTCTTTTGTGATAGTACTTGGGCTTGGAGATCAGGTTCAACTTGTTTCCAGATATCAAAGCAGACTAACCCAAGTGCTCCTCTGGAGAAGGACCCAAACGTCCACTTCCATTGGTGGAAAAGGGGTGTTGGCAGCTGACATAGCCATGACTGTCTATCGGTTTGCTAAACGATGACTCAACCCAGGTGAGTCACAGAAAACCTATTACACCAGTACAAAAACATCCACGCTCGTCAGCGCATATGGTAAAGCCAAAGATAAGACTTATTTATGGCTGGGACGGTTTCAATCACCCAGCAAAGAAGAGACATCTGCCCCAAAAGGAAATCATGTAGGATGCACGCACGTTAGGAGGGTTCAGGGTCCATTTGCAAGGACCCACGTGAACGTTCCCAGACATCTTGGCAGAAAGCCGCTTCTACCTATGTTTGGGAGCCTTCCTTATCCTCCCGAATTGCCCGAAACGGTTGACATCTTTCTCAGCTGACCAAGTGCATTGGCGGACTACTTCCCTGGGTGCTCCCAAAACCGGCATTCCCCTGCAAAAGGAGCTGTCTCGCCAGGCATGAGGGTTCCCTGATGTTCCATGCACCTTTCGAAGGAGGTACCACACATGGTTGTGTTTTGGTCATACACGTGCGGAGCCAACCCAAACACGTGAGAGACTTAGGCAACAAAAGCTCTCAAAGCAGAAACATGTTGGAGGGGAGCCGCGCGTTTTGACACACAGCCAAGGTTTGCGTGCCCTAACGCGGCTTGCATGCCCCACTTACACGTCACCAAAAGGAAGCTGACTTCAATTGGCCCCAAAAATGGCCCCAGAGAGGGAAAAACCACAACAAAATTTGGCCTTGGCACCACATTCATGGGCCTCAATGCTTGGTTTCCTTGGGCAACCGCGCAGAAATGTGTTGGGGCGCTGCTAGACAAAACCCAAACGGACGGTGGCCGAGATCTGGGCCTGCAGAGGGCTGCGCTCCTGAGCCTCCAACTGAAAGGAGAGTGGCAGTTGAGTCGCGTTGAGTAGGGAATGTGGTCGAATGAACC